AAATATATTTTACAAACTAATTAAATAAAGTTACTTATTTTGCAGTGCTCAAACCCCTCTCCACACTTGTAGAACACATGGTTACTCTTTGGATAATTATATGTCAAACCCAATTTCTCCTTTTAACCTGGGGTACATTGGCATTCCAAAGGATAAAACTGTCTCACACAGTCAATAATCCATTTTCCAAAGATTGAGGTATCTCCCATCATTGGTCATCTTTTCTATTTTGATCAAGAGTAATGGAAGGTGACACTCGGAATCCCTTCCATTTAATGGCCCAGGGATATCGCTATCTGGTCAGTCTGAATAATGCTCGGTGATGAGTTTTCCTACTTTGACTGAAGTGAACTATTGTTTAGGTATCATTTCAGCACTGCCTGAGTGAAATTACTTACATTAATGAATGCAATGGACTAGGAACTGACTTGTCATGAATCTTTAAATGACATTCGTGAGAGGGCAGGCACAAAAGGAAAGGATGATCACATAGAAGGAACTTGCTGTCCTAGTCCTTACTAAGACTCAAGTCTGAAAACAGGAAAGGGAATACAAAGCAGTGCTAATACCTCAAGTTAACCTTAACTATTAACCGAGTTCTCACTGAATACATGTTGCTTTTCATATGATTTTGTCCTTTGAAATTTTTGAGTATGTCAGATCAAATCAAAATTTTTCTTTGGAAGTTACTTTCACTTCCCAAATACACTAATGTACTGCTTTTTTTGCAGTATTCTTTAAACACAGCATTCCACATTATGTAATCATATCACTTAATCAAATAGTTTATCTCCTTTAGTTTTCCACTCCCCGAAAAGTAAGTTTTGGTTCTAAAAGTTGTCTTAAAAATTACACTTTTTTAAAAAACAACATGTTTTTATCATGAGACATGACAAAACTTCCTCTTCCCCTTCCTTCCTTTCTGTTTCTTTCATTTATTCATTCTTTATTTTTACCTGCGTTTTCACAAATAATTATTGGGGCCCTTGGTGTTCACACTTGGATAAAACTTTAATTTACACTAGTAATAGTAAACTTCCATGAGTGAAGAGTTGCAGCCACAAGTAGAAACGTCATTTCTAGGGGTAAACTGCGTAGTGATAAGCACACATAGACATTGTTGATATTCCCACTAAAGACAAAACTCCAGATGAAGTTGAGCAGCAGTGAATAGAGAAAGACAACAAAGTCATTAATTATTCTTATGTTTATACATAAATTCCAAAGGCTAAATGGCTCATGGTATGTTTATCCTTTGACTTTGGCATTGTAATTTGGAGCCATGTTTCCAGTTATTCATTACATTTCTGTCTCCTTCACCAGCTAGTAATTACCTTGGACGCATAGGTCATGTCTTGTCATCTCTGGTTGCCAAGTGCTTTGTGCCTGGTAGACAATAAAACATCTGTCACATTAAGTTCATTCAAATCATCATTTATTTCTAATTATAAGTGCTTCCGTATGAAAATGTTGACTTAAAGGATTCCCTGCTGCTTTGTATGTATAGTGATTACCTTGTGGAGTGAAAGCATTGTTCTGTTGATTACTGGTCACCTATGGCCTTTATTTAAGTTACTATGATGCAGTTGCTTACTTTGGGAAGTAAACTACTTAACTGTTTGAAATGAGAACAGAAGGTAACAGATGAACTTGTACATTGTTTTCTGTTTTCCCATTGGTTAGCTGTGCTACTCACATGAAACCCCAAAACAAACAAGAAGGTTTGAACACTATTTTACTTATATGATGCCAAATAAATTATTTTGTTTTACTTATTTCTTTGTAATACAGATAGATTTAGTTGTGTTTATGTGGTTAATATCTCCCACGCAACCTGGACAAAGGAACAAAATTCTATTCACCAAAAAGTAGACTGAATTGAAAATTAAGCCTTCTGACACCTCTTTTTAGGGATGCTTATGGCACATAAAACTTTCCATACAGTTAACAATTCAGTCAACTATTTTATCTACATGATTGTTTCACTATTTTATGTGCCTAGGTTGTTTTTGCCTTTATAGGGCCTTCGCGTTTTGTGTCTGCCCACAGCCCACTCATCCTCTGTCCCACATTCATCTGTGAATGTGAGGGGCCACTTGTGTTGCCATTCAGATCCTGTCTTCACATAGAAACAGAATCTAGGTATATGTGTCCTCAGGCTGGAACAATAAGTTTGGTGTCAGAATTCTTGAGTTCTGTTTATTAATTTAGTAATTCAGTCATTCAAAAATGTTGACCAAGTACCTGCTTCATGCAGAAATCTCTGCTAAGTGCTGGGAATACAATAGCATGTAACATGAATCCTAAGTGAGCCTTTCCCCTTTGTGGGGAAAATGACATTAGTCAAATAATAATAATACAATTATATAGTCACAAATGGCAATAAATGCCCTAAAGTAAAAAGTACTGGACACCCTGAGAATATATGTAAAATAACCTGATCCAGAATGAGACAGAAAAGCCATCTCTGAAGAAGTGACATTTAAATGTGACAAGGGGCAAAGGGGTGCATTTCAGGCAGAGAAAACCACATCCCAAAGACTCAGAGGTGGGGTGGAGTTGGGGGAACTAGAGAAGTCCTGTGTTCGACCACAGAAAGTTAAAAGGGTAGTGACATGACAAGAGACCGGTGAGGTACAGGCCGAAGTCCCCACTGAGGAGGTTTTGGACTATGTGAACACTTAAGGACTTTTTCCCCAACGCTAAAATCTAAAGGTGTGAAGGTGCTCCAAGCTGGAAATCACAAAATAGATTTCCTTTTTTAGGAGATTACTCTTGCTGCAATGTGAAGAATGATTTAGAGGTAGTGAAAGTAGATGTGTGGGAAACAGCTATTCATTAATTCATTCAACAGATATGTGTTGAGATTGCCCTGCTCTCTTATAGCTTTCATTCTAGTTGAGGGAAATGGACAAACAAACAAACAAACAAAAAAAGCAAAGAAATATATAGCATGTCAGGTAGTGGTAAGTGCTTTGAAGAAAAATGGAGTGAAAGAGAGCATCGTGGGTAGGAAGGTGATATTTTACACCAGGGGTCAGAGTAGTTCTATTACAAGATGGAGCTAGAGGAGAGAGCTGGGGAAGGCACTGAGAGGTCAAGGTCACTACCTGGAGGAGGAGGATCTCAAGTGAGAGCCTGGGCCAGGAGTTTGCGTGTGTTCCAAAGGGAGCAGGAGCTGAGTGGAGGGGGAAGGAGAAGGGTTTAGATATTTGGTTGTAAGACATTGCAAGTTCTTATTCTGCATGAAACAAGAAGCTCTTAGAGTGTTTTGAGCAACGGGGTGTGGTGCGTTTGACTTAGGTTCACTAGGACCACTCCGCCTACCTGGAGGGGGTGAATAAACTGAGGGGTCAAGGTGGAAACAGGAAGCTCAGTCAGGAGGCTATTGCAATGCCCAAGCAAGAGGTAATGGTGGCTTGTATCAGGTAGTAACGGGTAAAGTGGGACAAAGAAATAGATTCTGGATATATTTTAAAAGCGAAGCCAAAGGTGTCTGCTTATTTATAGTATGTTAAGTGGAAGAGGAAGAGAAAGTCAACAATGACTCTACAGTGTTTGTCCTGCGTGACTGGAAGGTTGGAGTGGTCATTTGCCGAGAAGGGATAGACTGCAAGAGAAGCTGATTTGGGGAAATAATCTGAAATTTGGATTAGATATCTTAAGTGTGAAATTCCCTTAATATCTAAGTTAAGATGGCAAGAAGATAGTTGTAACTGGAATTTAGGTAAGAGTTCAGGCTGAGGTTTTAAATTTGGGAATGATTAACATACCAGAGGTTAAAGCCATGAGCCTGGTGAGGTCACGCAGGGAGTGAGCACAGGTGAATAAGAGATATTCCAAGCACAGGCCCATGGTTCACTCCAGAAGTTAGAGTTTGGGAAGGTGAGAGGCTACCAGCAGAGGAGACTGCAGGTGTGGACAGCTGTGGTGGTCAGTTTGGAGAGTGCGGTGGTCTTAGATACAGAGAGAACAGAGAGACAAGAGATGTCCAGGAAGTTCAATCTATAGGAGGCAAAACCTGCTTTTCTTTGCCCTGGAATCAGTGAGCAACTCTGGGCTTGCTAGAACTAAAATCACCGTTTCCTCATTTGCAAGATTATAGGCTTTGAAATATAATTAAGTGAAATCATCTAAGTCACTTGGAGTAAGAATATATAGTGTTAATATTTTTATAGATAAGCAATATTTCATGCATTTTAAAAAGTCTTTTGAGAAATCACAATAAAGTCTGAGGAGAAAGCATAGAGCAGAATATTTTGAATTTTTTAAATTTTAAAAAATCATTAACTTTTATTTAATTCAACAGAAAATCTTGATGATAGAGAAGTGATAGACAAATGCATCTTTCCACTGACTGACACAGTGGTCTTTGCTTTTTAAAAATATTTCTCAGATGGTGATTAGATACTGCTATTCAAAAAGATATGGAATAGCAAAGCTGTGAATAAAAGTCACTAATGTAAAAATGTGAAGACGATGTTATTTTGCCAGAGATCAGCATACATTTTAGAACTAGGTAGCTGTGAAGATGATCTTTCGAAATAGTTGTGACTATGTGAGAATACCCTCATTGTAATGTACAAATTTATGGCCAAAATTATGGCAAACACAGCACCTGTAGGGCAACAAACCTGGAAATTTGCTTGATTGTGGCTTACTTTGCAACGGCAGGGCCTATGTTAAATAACACCCAGACACTGGTAAGTGTTGATTTTTAAGTCAAAATATTTTTGGTTCAATGTCTTTTGATTATTTCACACTGTGTCTGTGGATGAGAAATCTGGTTGCAGAACCTTGAGCTGCTGGACTTGCACAATTAGTGCTGTAAGTATCCTGTTTTGTGCCAAATAGCAAGTTTCGGTCTCTATTAAATGAAAATAAAATGAAATTTTATGAAAGTTTTATGAAAATGAAAACCAAATGATTTTTCCACTAAGTCTGGATTGTAAATGTTAGAAAGAATTATCATGGTCTGAATGGAATTCACTTTCCCACAGGTATTTCTTTGTGGTTGAAGAAGACAATACTCCGCTATCAGTCACAGTGACTCCCTGCGATGCGCCTTTGGAGTGGAAGCTGAGCCTCCAGGAGCTGCCAGAGGAGACAAGCGGGGAGGGCTCAGGTACACAGCAGGACAGATCTGGCCCCAGACCCCTGAATGTATGGTTAAAAGGCTACAACCTTCTGTTAATAAGAAAAAAACAGCGTAGGTGCCCAGGTGAAGCTGCAGATTTTGAGGTGGAGATAATGTAATGGATGATGGAGAGAGAGCATCAGATGACATTGATCTTGGTATAGTAAAAAGTTAAGAGAGACAGGTAGGGGGACTGAGCATTGAGGGGAAGGGGAGAGGTTTGGACTAGCCTCTGTGGCTGTGGTTTTCAGTCTTGCCTGAATATTCAAACCATGTATAGGGCTTTAAAAATTTCTGCTGATGCCTGGATCTTGCCCTTAGAGGTGCTGATTTAATTGCCATGGGCTGTGTTCTGGACACTGGGATTTTTATCTCCCCGGATGATACTAATATGCAGCCAAGATTAAGACCTTTGATCTCTAGACAAAGAAAAGACACACATTTCAAAGTATATGCTGTCACAACTCCAGGGGTGGAATGGGGGTGGAAACAGAAGCAGAGAGGCATTTAGCAGAAAAGACAGCCAGTAGGCGGAGTGGGTTAAGTTATTAAAGAAGATGCAGATGATGGAGAGCAAAAAAACAAGATACAAGGGAAACGAAGAGTCTGTATGGGGCCCTGGAGTGGGGCTGCTCCCGTTAAGGGCATCATAGCTTAAAGGTGAAGGCTTGGTGACTTAAGAACTTTGCCCTGCAAAGGATGCTAGCAAGCTATAGTGCTTACAAGGAAGAGCGAGCATCCTCATTAAGAAAATGGTGGAAGTCCTGTGGTGGGTGATGAGACTGAGGTATAGAAAATGAGTCCTGATGTTAACATGGCCATGTGATGATTGTGTTCATCCCACGGTTTGGGAATATCAAATTCTACACAGCTCACTTTCGATCTGCAGTGATAAGCTGGAAAAGGTTTGTTCCCACACTGGCTACCCAATGCTTTGCCTGGTCTTAGAAACTTACCTTCACACTAACGTCGGTGTGATGTCTGAACAGTAACAAAGATGGAAAACATTGGTTTGGCTTCAATACTTTCCCTGTATTACTCCTGGGCACATAGTCTAGATGTTGAACATCTAGACTATTCTTAGACATTAGACATTCTTACTGATGCTTTATAATCTGTATTTTAATCAGATTTTCTAGTCTGCCTAATAATAGTGAAGTTAGTGAAATGGATACCTGTCAAAATGCAGACTGATAGAATCCTTTTGGTAAGCAGATTGACAGGACTAACAATTTCTAAAAAGTTTACAATCTTTGACCTAAAACTTCCACAAATTGGATTCTGGGAAAATCGTTACACATATATAAGAGTGCTATTTATAATGGTCAAAAATTGGCTAACAGGGTTATTTTTGTGATATAATATTAGCTAAGAAAAACAGGATTCAAAAACTGGAAGTTTATCTAGATACAGATATGCTTGGGAATAAATGTTACTAAGTTACAGAGAAAAATGAGAGAAAATAATATCAATTGCACAAAACATGTATAAAGGAAAAGACTGGATGGAAACAAAGTATTAATAAAGGACGGTCTCTGGATAATGAATTGATGGATACTTTTTTTATCTTGTTAATTTTTCTATATTTCCCAGTTTGCTGCTATGAGCATGTATTATTTTTATAACAGAAAAAAGTAAGATAAACTCAAACCACGACTTAAAGCTGGCAAGCCACAGTGTGTGCCCTGACACGTAGCCTGTGCTTCTCTTGTATCTTCTAGGTGATCCAGAACCTCTCGAGCAGCAGAAGCAACAGATCATTCCTGAGAAAGGTACTGAGTTATTCTCCTACAAAGGCAACGATGTTGAGTATTTTATATCTTCTAGCTCCCCATCTGGCTTATATCAGCTAGAGCTTCTTTCCACAGAGAAAGACACACATTTCAAAGTCTATGCCACCACAACACCAGAGTCTGATCAGCCATACCCTGAATTACCTTATGATCCAAGAGTAGATGTTACCTCCCTGGGGCGCACCACAGTCACTCTGGCCTGGAAGCCGAGCCCCACAGCCTCTTTGCTGAAACAACCCATTCAGTACTGTGTGGTCATCAACAAAGAGCACAATTTCAAAAGTCTCTGTGCAGTGGAAGCAAAACTGAGTGCAGACGATGCTTTTATGATGGCACC